TTAATCGGTGCTGGACTCTTTACAAAACTTCACTGAGAAGTAATTGATACTGCTTCAAAATGTCATGCTTCATGATATACTACCAGAAAAGTCCTTTTAAACCCTTTAAATGTTTTCAGTGACTCGGTAAAAAGCAGACAACTTCCTGATTTGAGGGAAATTACAGATACCACTGGTCAAATATTACTCTATTACAATTGTTTTATTATTGTTGCATTGTTGTATGTAATACTTACAGTGCCTTATGAGTCTGAATCAATGTCTGCCTATCCTTATATCAATATGACATTTATTTCTAGAACACAGTACTAGTTGAGATTGAATAAGTGCCCTTAATAGCGTCCACTATGGGTTTTTTGGGGGGTTTGTATGAGTATGTTAGCCTTACTGTTATCTAAAAGCTATTTGTGCTCCAAAACAATGACAAAATTTGCATTTAGAAGACCAACCCCAATGTTGAAAATGAAAATGACAGAATCCAACATCAGACTGACGTTAATCTCCAACGTTGTATTGTTGTTGAAAATGAAAATCGGTTTGACATCAGAACCCGACGTTAGATTGACGTCAATCCGATCAAAATCCAACGTCAATCCGGCTTTCGTTTCCAACCAAGATGCAACCCCTTGCAAACAAAATCATCCCGACTGACGTTACTTTCTACTCAAGGATCTTGACAGAAATGTAGTAGAGTAAAAAGTTTGATGAATTTAAAGTAAAAAGTTTCCAGAGAAAAAGAATACTCAAGTACAGATACTCAAGAAGTGTACTTAAGTACAGTACTCAAGTAAATGTTGCTGTCCACCTCTGCTCGGTAGTAGGGAAATAAACTTAGATGTTTCTGACTATATTCCAACTATTGATGCCGTTTTCATTTTCGAAACTCAGGGAGTGTTGTTGTGCTTTGAAACTTTGACTTTCCCCTCCAAAGAATCCCCCGGGAGCTCACAGAGCTACACACAGACTGCTGTGTACTTCAGCTGTTGATATGAGATGAATTTTTCACACAACCTGACATTTTAAAAAATGATTATTTGGGGATTCGGTATACCAAGACATTCTGTCCTTTTAATTTTAGTGATTCGCACATCAACATATACATGCCTTTAATGTGAGGTTAGGACAACAACAACAACAAAATACAGACTAAAGCCGAAAATCAGCCCTGCAGTTTTACTTCATTATTAGCACACAAATTTGCAATGCTTTTTGCGAATGTTCGTTGGAAAGATTGTTTCGGGAAACACAGACTCGTTGAACTATGCTGATGACGACGGAACTTGCGACCAAAGTTGGCTAAGGAAACGCACCCCAGTTTAGAGTTCAGGAGATTGTCTTAACCAGGACCACACCCCTAAATGCATTGAAGCAACTGCCATGTGATTGGTTGATTAGATAATTGCATTAATGAGAAATTGAACAGGTGTTCCTAATAATCCTTTAGGTGAGTGTACAGTGCAACCACAACCACACCTTCACATCAACATTGCAAGCTCTGTAGCTGTTAATTAAAAAAAAAATTGCTCCCATAAATTTAAATAAAATAAAATTTAAATTAGCTACAAACATCCATATTTTCAGTTTTCAGATCTAACTAACATTATAACCATCAAAGTTAAGTCAGTTAAATCAAGTATTTTAAATATATATATATATGAAGAGTTCAGATGCAAAAGCCTCTAAATGCCATTTGAAATTTTCTTCTTTAATGATGATTTTGAACTAACTTGTATATTTAAGTTCAGTAATTTCACTTAAATAACAATTAATAGGTAATTATCATTGCCATTTAAGTGAAATCTCTGAACTTATATATACAAGCTTGATGAAAATGATCATTCTAGAAGAAAATTTCAGGCTTTTGCATCTGAACTCTTCATATATATACTGTATATGGCATGCACACCGATTTATATATAAATGGGAAAAAAAATCTGCACTCTTCTTTTCTTTGCATTGTTCGAGTTCTGAAAACATGGCATCTTTTTTGTTACTTTGCCCCGTTGTCACTTTCTGCAAATAAATGCTCTGAAATTACAATGTTTTTACTTGAAATTTGGAAGAAATGTTAGTAGTTTATAGAATGTGTGCTTGCATGCGTGTTTGTGTGTGTCAGGCAATTAAATTCTGATTTAAATGATCATATACTGTATATGCACTTATTAATGGAGTAGAGTATTATACACCGGTTTTCGAGAATAAAAGAAAGACGTGCATATGTTTTGTTTTTTGTTTGTTTTTTCAGCATAAGAAACTGAGGGGGATAATGCAGTAATGATAAAGACCACGTAATGTAATTTTCTCTAACTGAACTACAGAACTTTCATGGTCAATTTGAAATCAAGCAAGCATTTAAATCTAGCAGCTCAGATAATACTGTAAACGTACAGGTTACTCAACCATCATTTGATCATATACATCTATTATTATCTCTGCGCCTGCACAGAGGTAATTCAATGTTTAATGAAGAAACACAGGGGGTTGAGGATAAGCGTTCTCGATTAAATATAGGCTACAGCACACATGTTGGGCCAGGACAAAGACATCACAGATCGTAATCGTGTGAGTCATGCTAATATGACCTTTAAAAGTCCTAAAACACATATAGTTCTGGATCAGAGCTGATCCCGGTCCAAGCCGACGGAGCTGCTAATCTGTGTTTAGCTGGTGAGTCAACAGCAACTCCTGACTTTGGCTGATGATGAGAGAATTACAACATAATTACATTTGACTTTTGGAGATCACGAGAGCATCGCCTACTGTCTGCCAACAACTTTCATTTTTTCAAAGGGTGATTTTAATGAAGCATTAAATAATCAAAACAGCCCTCAAGGCACAAAGAATCGTTACAAAACTATCTCACTTTAGCATCGATGAATGACAGTTTCTTTCCTAAACATCCGCAGGGCAAACTTTAAAATCACACGGTCATATAAAACTTTGGATATTTATAGCATCCTCCATGGAATCAATGAGATATTGGGGCTTACTGTGCACAGACTGATCTGTCATCATTCTTCATCAAACTTGCATTACTTTTTTTTTTCGTTTGGTGGAAAACAAAAAGAGATGACTCTTTTCCAGAAATGTGAATGAGGATGAACTCCATCAAACTTTAAAATGGCAAAAGCACCATGAAGGAATCATAAAAGCTGTCCATGCAACCATTCCAAAGTCTTCTTCAGCTTCAGTAAAATATCATAAAGACCTGAAGCAAATATATAGCCAACCAGATTTGATGCAGACATATAGCTCATTTTGTAAATATCATCTCTGAATATAAAACCTCGTCTGCTTTACAGACGGCACTCGAAGGATCAATGAGACCTCATATGCATATCAATCAATGTCTCCTATTTCTTACCTTCAAAACATTGATATTTTAAACTTTGGGTTTTCACTGTTTGATGCAACAATTGAGGGATCCGGCTTTTAACTACTCCGTGAAATGGTTTGACAAACTCAGTTTTCTTAATGATCTCTCCCTCTCTCTCTATTCTACTGAAATAAGAAGTCAGGAATCATCTATAAGACCTTGTAAGTATAAGTAAAAGTAAAAAGTAAGTACTTGTCCCTCTATTCAAATAATCAGTTTGTCACAGGCTTGTCAAATCACGGTTGGCTAGTTATTAAACCAATCATGAAAGTTGCATTTTATTCAGTTGGACAAATGTGTTGAAATACCACTCTTAAGCTGTGTTCACACAACACGTGACCAAGCGACACGATAGGCTACCATTCATTTTCAATGGTGAGCGTGCGACATCCGGCGACATGCGCGGTCGCAACCGTTGGGGACTGGATGGGGCGTGTCTGGCGACGCGACAAAGTTGAGAAATTTTTACATTTATGCAAATGCAGAGCGACTTTCGGGAGCGACGACCAATAGGAGTAAAGTCAGTGGAGTGCGTCACTCTTCGGTGCTGAGTCTGACCGAGGCAAGTTGAACGAGAAGCTCATTTTAGCTGCCAGAAACTGTCCTATAATTTTTAAGTGCGTATCTATACCACGATTGTCATTTCTCGTGGCATTTAAACAACAAAAATGGTTTTTGCGTGCAAATGCTACGCACTGAAAACCCCCTGGGTAGGTTTAGGGGGAAGGGTGGGGAGTTCGTAGGCCTAATTATTATACGCCAAAAAAGTACATATCATATGCACGCAAAAACCGCGTACCATATAGACGCAAAAACTAGTTTTGGCGTATAAATGCACGAGAAATGACATTCGTGCTATAGATACGAACTTTCATGAGATCGGGCTGAAGTTTTGATATCTCCGTGTAGCCTACATATTATGATATAGTGTGACATGCTTATGAGATTAAAAAGTAAACATTATGACTTTGCCTTTTTAAGCCATGATTTCGACTTCGTATGTACATTTCTATATGACTTTTATGTCAATTTCAATTTTCATGTCGATTCGGTCATCATTTCGACTTTCAATACGATTTTAAATAAACAGCATTTTATTTTACTTATGTGGCAAAAAAAAAATGGGCTTCCATAGATATATGCTGTTGAACTGGATTTTACAGAAGATTATATCCACAGGAAAAATATCTAACGATCAACTGAAGTATTTCTCAAGAAAGAGATTTTGAGTAGAGAAAGAGGAAAATAAAGAAAATTTTGGAATATTTCTTGCCAGATTTTCTCGTGCATGCCAAAAATCAACATCTACTCAAATCTAAGTTGTGACATCAAGTGAAATGAACCCCTCTGTTAAAATACAACTGTTGTGATAAAATTAAAATGAATATTTAAACAAATTAGATTTCACCCGGTTATAACAGACACATGAAAACGCAGATCCTTTAAAGTGCCTGCAAGTAAAGAGTAGAGATTGATGAATCAACACTTGTTTGAGTAGAGTTGATACCATGCAGCCTATCCGCTCGCAGCACAGATCTTCAATCATTGAACCAGTAAACCACAACCACCCCCAGACGCGTGACGTGTGATCGCTGCTGTCCATCCGCGACGCTCCTGAATCGCTCGCATCGCAACAACCGGTGGATGCAACACGTCTCTCGGACTCACTGGTGCTGAAGCTGCGCGCACTCGGAAGATTCCAGCATTCCACAACCCATCACATCGACACTATGGATCGTGATGCCTTTTATCGCCTGATGAAACTTCCCTTCGTTTTGTTTTTCCGCTTTAACCATCACGCTCGTGATTTGTTCGTGCAATTTAATGTTCGTGGGAATCAGTAACCTGAGGTATTAACTCGGTTTTTTGGTAGTTATGATTGTCAATTTGACTCGCGCGCAACTGCGCTCCATAAACTGACGCTTTCATTTAGTTGCACTCCAGCTTCACCAAAAAGCGCAGAGAGATTTCTGGAGTGAATCGCCTTATAAACGCGCAACTGGAGCAGAACCAGTGCCATGGGTAAGAACATAAAGCAAAGAAACATTTCTGTTGGTTTGCTAAATGTCCGTGCTCTCTCATTTAAGTGCGTAATGACAAACAGCCTCTCATGTTCGAAGCGCATGCAAATCATTGAACTTGAATCATCTGGTGCAAATTAGATAATTGTGTGTTTTTGGGCGCGTTTATTGATTATGGATTTGTGCGTGTGTTTTGCCTGCATTTTGATGGCCAATCAATTTCTCCATTCCTGATTTCAGTCGTGTTCTTTTCCACCTTCCTGGGCATTCATCACTAGACCACAAGCATTAACGCAAACGCCTTTTAATTTATAGTGAATTATGGAGCTAAAATGCTTCTGGACTTTTACATAAGAGACTTTGTACAGAGTGAGCTTTATCATGCGAGATTTTATGAATTTATGAACAAAAGCATCTCTTTTTCTTGTTTCATATTGTTTCAAGGGTGTATTTTTCTAATTATTAATGAACATTGATCAACAGAACACAAATACTTTCTTTTCTTTACTGAGAGTGTTGCCCACAGTAACGAGTGCGGCAGTAGATGATGCAGGTGCTACATTTAGTTGATCAACATCGTCTCCTTTTTGCTATCACTAGTTTATTTTTTTATTTGAGCACAACCATTTGTCATGCTACAAGACTATTTAAACTGATCTGAATGCAGAAAGGTGACATGCTTTATTTTAATTTCATATACATTGTAACCTAAAAAAAAAACGATAATTATCCATAAAGTTAGTTATTTTAAAGCTGCAAGCAAGCAAGCATAATAATAATAAAAATAAAAGAATGACCAGTACATTGCTTTTGGCACACCCTATTAAAAGCTCAGAAATGCTTTATGATAGGTCTGAGTCTAGTGGAAAGGAAGCTTTTTACAGTGTTGTAATTGGTCTCTTGCGGCAGTCCAGAGGAACATGATAGACTTTGTCTTTGTAATTTGCATTCTGGATGGCATTCAGCAGTTGCTAGGATTCATAATGGTAAATCCTTGTGCTTTACACTGAAATCCAAAATTACCTCAATCATCATTTGAATCAGTGGCCATGTTACAATCAATTAAGGAAGTGCATTAGAGAGCGGCTCCATCTGTGAACCCTGCTGATTCTTTACTGAATAAGGTATAAATAGGAGCACGTCCTGGAGCATGTTATGTTACTCAGACTTCATCGATATAAATCACTTACTAAACAGAACTATATTCTGCTTATCCCCAGATGCATTGATGCCTCATTCAACACTCTAATATATATATATATGAAGAGTTCAGATGCAAAAGCCTCTAAGTGCCATTTGAAATTTTCTTCTAGAATGATCATTTTTATCAAGCTTGTATATTTAAGTTCAGTGATTTCACTTAAATTGCAATGATAATTACCTATTAATTGTTATTTAAGTGAAATTACTGAACTTAAATAAACAAGTTTGATAAAAATCATCATTAAAGAAGAAAATTTCAAATGGCATTTAGAGGCTTTTGCATCTGAACTCTTCATATATAAAAAACATTATTAGTTCCACAAATTATTCCAGGTAACGGAGGCCAGCTTGTTTGAGCTTTGTGAGTAAACCTCACTCCCCTCACCTCAAGAGATGCACTATAGCGACTTTTGTTATCGTCCATCTCCAATGCCGGAAATGCCGGCTCGAATCCTGCTCAAAGTGGAGCGAGATGAACCGAAGGGGTTACATATGGGGATTTTGTTAAGGTTTTGAACTTTATATCACATTCTTTAATCATTTGGATAATCTATGTTTTTAATTATGAATAAAAACCTGCTTAAAACCAATTTGTATAGCCAATTTGGTCAGCTTGAGCTAAACCTGCGATTAAATTGGAAAAAAAGAGAAAAAGGCATTCATTTCTCACCATCATGTCGTTCCAAAACACAGTAAGGCTTTCATTCCTCTTCAAAACTCAAATTAAGGTATTTGAATGGAAATCTTTCTATCCTTTCACTGACAGCTCATACAACCAAGTTCATAAGGAGATCATAAAACTAATCCATATGAATTGAATGGTAATTTTCTGAAGAGACTCGATTGCTGATATAATTTAGGCTTTAATTCACATATAAATATTGATCATTAAACATAAACAGAAGCTCAACCGAACATGATTGACGCACGAGAATTAACCTTATTGGTTCTTGCTGAAGCTCAAAAGTGCTGCGTAACATGAGAATGAACCTCATTGGTTCATGCTTGAGCTTCTGTTTACCATATCCGATGTGTTTATTCATATGGATTAGTTTTACAATCTCTTTATGAACTTTTTGAAGCATCAATGTTGTAGTTGGAGTGTCAATGGAGGGACAGAAATCATTCAGATTTCATTAAAATATCTTCATTTGTTTTTCTACGATGAACAAAAGTCTTACAGGTTTGGAACGACATAAATGATGACAGAGTTTTTGGCTGAACTAACCCTTTAAGTTGAACTAAATGCAGAAAGATCTCCAGCCATCTATGAGAGTTCTCCTACAGAAACTAGACCTGAAAACCATGCAGAAAATCCCCCAATTGGCATAATGTGTGGAACTGAAGATCATTCTATAATGTTAAATGAAAGAATTTACTTGGCAAATACTCATTATCACTGGGACCATTTTAAATCTCAGAGCTATACAGCGTGTTAAATTAAGTATGTTGACATGAAAAATGCATTTTCAAACCACAGATATGTTAATTTGAGCAAACACTTAATGTATGCCAGAATAACTATGAGAAAACACCATCTGATAACTGCATGCTCTATCAAGATGAATCTAATTTAATATTATTAACAAAATGCATTATCTTAAGAACTCCAGGGCAAAGAGGGGCTTTGTCCATATGGCACAAGTCCAAGCACATTAGGAATATTCGAAAATTCCAGTCATGCACACACAGTATTAAAATAGCCACAACTGCTTATTTTTGCCAGACTGTGCAGCCACAATACACTTAAAACATGCTTTATTTAATACTTTCCAGTTTTTAAAATTATTAGTTTTAACCATGATTAGGGTTAGGCTTTTTGATTATAATGCTAACATATAGTCAATTTGTTAAGCATACTGGTAATGCTGCCTAACTATAATGAAAGCAAATAACGATGGATTCGAAACAGCAGGGTTTCCACTGGGATAACCAGAGATGCTCTACAGAGTAAACTTGACCTCCACGCCTCCACATTCCAGTCCTCAAAAGCCTCCTCAAAAGTGAGTGTTTCAGGAGGGGAGTAGTCCTCCACATCCCACTGCAAACTCCACTCAGCTACATTATGAAACGCCCACTTTAAACTATCCAATCAACTCTGATGGATGTAATCAAGTCCCATTTTTAGTAGCATTGAATAACCTGTTTCACTAAAACAAAAAAAAAATGTAAAGGGATACTCCACCCAAAAATGAAAACTCTGTCATCATTTACTCAACCTCAAGTTGTTGCAAACCTCTATGAGTTTCTTTCTTCTGCTGAAGATATTTTGAAGAACGATTGGTACTTTGGCACCATTGACTTCCATAGTATTTTTTTTTCTACTATGGAAGTCAATGGTGCCAAATAACTGTTTGGTTCCAATCGTTCTTCAAAATATCTTCCTATGTGTTCAGAAGAAAAAAGAAACTCATACAGGTTTGCAACAACTTGAGGGTGAGTAAATGATGGCAGAGTTTTCATTTGTGGGTGGAGTATCCCTTTAAAGTACACACACACACACTATGGAAACAAATGGCTTGTCCATTAGGTTAATGTTGGGGGGAAAAAAAGTAATTTACCTTGCATTCGACATTCTGTGATTTGAACCCTTAACCTTGACGTTCCTTGCACCAATTGAGCTAGAAACAGCACAGAGAACAGACAAAGTTGAATGCTTGTTCATTTCAGCCTCGCCACTGACGAAAATAATTAAGTTCTCAGAAGCACATTATGTTTTCACCTTTTCCTCTAGCAAGGTTTAGTTCTCCCCTATGGCTCTCGACAAGGCTTGTATTCCAATCAGATTATGATCGGATGACACAAAATAGACACAAATTAAGATTAGCTACTCCCGTGAACATTAAACTGAGGATAGAAAGGAAAAAGCACTGCAAACTCATTGCAGGGGCAGTCCATTGGGAAAGGCAGTCCTCTGTGGACTGAGAGTCTGAAAAAAAGGAAACCTAGACCTCAATTGGAAAAGTGTTGGTGCACTGGGAATTGAAGCATGAGTGAAAGTTAATCTACCAAAAAGCATGTCATCAAGCAATATCCTTCAAAGTTTAAACCGGGGCTGTCAATTTAATAATAATGTTAATTGAATTAATTGCATTATACACAGTTTAATTGATTGCATAAATTAATATAAGCTGAGGAAATCTCCTAATGCATTAATTAAATACAGTTAATTGGTTTAAACACAACATGTACTATAGAGTAACTCTTGACCTTTCTCCATCTGCATTTCTGGCTGTGTTGGTGGTGATTTTGTTCTTTGGATAAAAAGACGGCAGTCTCTGCCAGCACTAAAGATGTGTACTCTTGTGCACCTGAAGACATGGATAAATGTGGCATGTTTGACACATAAGCTTTATGTGTTTTGTTCCCCTGCTACATTATTTCTCAAACCCTCACTGCATTCATCTTGCTTCTTAATCATCTCCTGCTGAGTCTGGCCCGTGTATTACTCTCCATGTCAGGGTAATGGAACAGTGCAGGGTTCATTTGAAATATCAACTTGTCTTTTTTGCCAAAGGAGATGGCAGCTCTCGTTCTCTCGTTCGCTCACCCTCTCTCGCCGTCCTGATGTCGAAAGCCCTGTTAATGGCCTTCTGAACCACATAATCATGAACATCCATGAGTGTCCTTGAACCTCAATTAGTTTTTCTTGGGCTCCCCAAAAAAAAGACGTCTGGTAAAAAGTGGCCTAGACATTAAATTATTCATGCCATCTTGTGCATCCATCAGATCAGAACAATGGCCCCATAGTGAGACATTGAGTGAGAGACAGGGAGAATCAACAAGAGACAAGATGAAACAGTGCTTACAACATAAATTTAGCAAAAGTAATGTGATGAATTTCAGAATGAAGCAGGAAACCCCAACTGTTTGGTACCGACACTCTACAAAATATGGTAACACTTTAGAATACGGTTCCTTCGTTAATGAATAACTACACAAGAACTAATGAGTAACACAATATTAACAATCTAGTAACTATTATTAACTAACAAGAAACTCTGATTAACGAACTAGTAAGTAATAGCGCACAGACGAAAGTGGTAGTTCACTATTAAGCAATCAATAACTACTATTTTTTTAATACTTCCCAGAGAACTACTGAAAAAATTTATTAACAATCTAGTAACTACTATTAACTAAAAGAAGCTCTTATTAACGAATTAGTAAGTAATAGCTCACAGATGAAACTGTTACTAGATACTTCTGTGGGAATTACTAATTATTTGGATCCGTATTATAAAGTGAAGATCATTGGAACTAACTAGTAATTACTCAAGTGTTACTAAAGACATTTTCTAAAAAATACTAAAGTTCACCAAAAATCTCAAACGGTTGCACAAATCATGACTAGAACATGTAGTAACACTTGAGTAATTAGTAGTTAGTTCCAATCATCTTCACTTTATAATACGGATCCAAATAATTAGTAAGTAATAGCTCACAGATGAAAGTGTTACTAGATACTTCTGTGGGAATTACTAATTTGGATCCGTATTATAAAGTGAAGATCATTGGAACTAACTAGTAATTACTCAAGTGTTACTAAAGACATTTTCTAAAAAATACTAAAGTTCACCAAAAATCTCAAACATTTGCACAAATCATGACTAGATCATGTAGTAACACTTGAGTAATTACTAGTTAGTTCCAATGATCTTCACTTTATAATACGAATCCAAATAATTAGTAATTCCCACAGAAGTATCTAGTAACACTTTCATCTGTGAGCTATTACTTACTAATTCGTTTCTTTTAGTTAATAGTAGTTACTAGATTGTTAATAAACTTTTTCAGTAGTTCTCTGGGAAGTATTAAAAAAATAGTAGATATTGATTACTTAATAGTGAACTACCACTTTCGTCAGTGCGCTATTACTTACTAGTTCGTTAATCAGAGTTTCTTGTTAGTTAATAGTTACTAGATTGTTAATATTGTGTTACTCAATAGTTCTTGTGTAGTTATTCATTAACGAAGGAACCGTATTCTAAAGTGTTACCCAACATATATTCTTTTGTGTTCAGAAGAAGAAAGTAATTCATACAGGTTTGGAACAACTTGAGAGTGAGTAAATGATTTTGGTTGAACTATTCCTTTACAAAATGGATTGTGTATTGAGGAAGTGAATAGATCAATTTACAAGTTATAATATGTAGCATGTGGACAGTCAGGAACACACACTACAGCTTCGATAAAACTCTCCCTCCATGGTGGCTGTGCTTTTAAAAACAGCCTTATCTGCTCTTGATTTTAACCAGTTAAGTGAGAGGAAAACCTTAAGCGAATCAGCTCTGAAAATCTTTATCCTCTAATGACTCACAAATGTTTAATTTGCTCATTGATTTTTTTTTTAACAGCCAGACCTGGAGATTGATTGCAGAGGTTCACATGCAGTCTTTTTTTTTTCTTCTTAGTTGAAGTTTTTTTTTCCTGTTGTACCAATTTAATAACAAGCAAGAGAAAATGTTCCAAATCCACTGAGTTGCTCATGAAATACCCCAGAGAAAAAACTATCCATATCTCAGTGAGAGTGCAGCTCTCGTCGAATATTTTGCCCCCAATTAATAGAACGTGTAGTATTAATGGGTCATATAATTATTTAAAGAATGTTGTCTTCTGAGGCAGCTGTAAGCAAGCCTACCCGGTTGTGCGGTCTCATGTTGGAAGAATTACCACATTCTTATGGGATCTTTAGACGATGTCGCTAATGATCTCTGCGGCTAAGGGAAGTGATGTGCTTTCAATACCATGTCTCTGTTCCAGTAACTAGTCAGCAGGATACGGGTGGCCTTTAGCCACAGAACGAAACATATTTACAGCCCCAATAGGACACTGTTATATAAAATTGATTACTGTGTAAACCGTTTGGTATGCCCCATTACTGTCGCACATCTCTTCTTGTTAAAGCGTCAGCTCAAAGCAGCAGAACAGCAGGAATCGTATTTGTCATGTGTTCCTTGCTAATGACACAAACAAACTTTGAGACGGATGACCCTGGCGTTCCCTTTCTCTCATTCCTAATTTAGCATGGCGCATAAGATGCATTCAGTGTTAGGCTGCTTTGAGCTACATAGATTGTGAAGGCATGCTATTTTTAATCTCAAATGTTTAAGCATTAGTTCAATCTTTTGAGGGGGTGTGCAAGCAACGACGTTCCGTACTGCTCCGTGCATGTGTTAGACGTATGCTGATTAGCTCCGCTCTGATAAGTGGAGCTCATTGATTTCCATTCATTTAAAATGCTCTCTTCGCCTCCCACTCACTTCCATTTTGTCTGAAACCAGGGTACATTAAAAGGTGTAGCGCTAAATGATGGATAAATCCACTCGAATCCTTGTATTCAATTAGCGGGCCCCCAGTGCGATTTTTCGATGTCATGCATTATGTCTTAATAGCTCGAAAACACTCGCCACACTCTGCAGGATGTCCCCCATCCATCACAGTCATGAATCGTTATCCTTGATGATAAAGGTGAGGGCGTGCATAATGGATGTGCTCGGTCACCTGCAAACCTGTGATCTCTAGGGTGAATACTAAAACTGACCTCAAATGTTGTCTGTCTGTGTGTCTCTCTGCAGGGCCCTTACTCTGGGAAGAGCGCCTGTCGTGTTTTCTTCTCCATGCGTCTGTTCTCCTGCTGCTCAGCAAGGGGGAGCGGATGTGCCCTGTGAGTTGCCGCTGCGAAGGCAAGATTGTTTACTGCGAGTCTGGCGCCTTTCAAGACGTCCCGGAGAACATCTCTCAAGGGTGCCAGGGTTTATCCCTGCGGTACAACAGCATCTTGTTGTTGCTACCTTACCAGTTTGCTCACCTCAACCAGCTGGTCTGGCTCTATCTGGACCACAATTCCATCAGCGAAGTGGACAGACTGGCCTTCCAGGGACTTCGTCGGCTAAAGGAACTGATCTTGAGCTCTAACAAGATTGTGCAGTTGCAAAATGGCACCTTTGAGACTGTCCCGAACCTGCGCAACCTTGACCTGTCCTACAATCAGCTGCAGGACTTGATACCAGGGCATTTCCATGGACTCCGCAAGCTTCAGAATCTTCACCTGCGATCAAACAACATCAAAAGCATCCCCGTCCGCACGTTTATGGAGTGTCGGAGCCTGGAGTTTCTAGATTTGGGATACAATCGCCTGCGGACTATCACCCGTACGACCTTCCTGGGACTGCTCAGGCTGACAGAACTTCACCTTGAGCACAATCAGTTTTCCAGGATTAACTTTTTCCTATTTCCACGCCTCTTAAACCTACAGGCTCTTTATCTGCAATGGAATCGCATACGGACTGTCGTCCAAGGTTCGCCTTGGACTTGGCACACTTTGCAAAAATTGGATCTATCGGGCAACGAGATTCAAATTTTGGATCCCGCTATTTTTCGGTGTTTGCCCAATTTGCACACTCTCAATCTGGAGTCCAACAAGATCAGTAATGTGTCCCAGGAAGTGGTTTCATCGTGGATCTCCATTAGCACTATCAACCTGGCAGGAAACATATGGGACTGTAGCTCTAGTATCTGCCCTCTGGTGTCTTGGCTGAGAAACTTCAGGGGAACTAGAGATGCCAGTATTATTTGCAGCACTCCCAAATCTCTTCAGGGAGACAGAGTCATGGAGGCAGTGAGGAACAACTCGGTGTGCGAGGAGATATTTACCGTGGAACCGACCACGGAATTGACACTTCTTTTGACTACTACTATGACAACTCTTTATGTCACAAAGCCACCCACAACCACCACTACAACCCCACGCACCACAACGAAACAGCTTTCCCAAGTTACTCACATACAAAGACTCACCCCAAAAGTTGTATTCCCTGTTCAGTCTGACAAAGAATTCCGATCACCTCTAACAGTGACGCCTAGCACCCTACCCTTCACCCCTGAACCTGAGTTTGAACATATGACCTTCCACAAGATAGTCGCTGGCAGCGTTGCCCTATTTCTCTCAGTCTCATTAATCCTTTTAGTGATTTACGTGTCGTGGCGACGATACCCTAACAGCATGAGGCAACTCCAGCAGCACTCCATCCGACGCAAGCGCAGGAAAAAGACTCGAGAGCCTGAACATAACATCAACTCGCAACTGCAAGAGTATTACCTAAGCTACAACCATGCCGATGCAGAGACGATAGACTCTTTGGTTAACGGGGCGTGCACCTGCACCATCTCGGGCTCCAGAGAGTGCGAGGTATGACCAACCATTAAAAAACGCATTCTCTGCACCGGGGAGTCAGAGGTAAACCTTTTTAAGAGCATGACTGCCCATTTAATTCTTTCTTCTCTTTGCCCTGTCGTTACTTTGAAATGCTCACATTTGCACGAGTAGAGGCATAGTTCACCTAAAAACAAAAATTCTCTTTTTAATTTATTCCCCAGGTCATTTCAAACATGTATGTTGTTATTGGTTTTCCCCAAATGAGAATCTTAGTTCTGATTTTTTTTTTTTGTTCATATAACACCCTGTCAAGCTGTAAAAAGGACAATTTCTATTCTCTTCATGAAATTTGCACAAATGCAGTCCATCTGACTTGTGCACTATATTGCAAATATTCTAAGCTTTAGTCATATGAACACCTTTTTTTGGTTTTGCTATTTTTTGGAGCTTGACAGATATTGCCACTATGACAGTTCCCTGTCTTTTAACTCTTTCCCTGCCAGCGTTTTATTTTATTGACTTTTTTAAGTTGCCAGCCACTGCCAGCATTTATGATAATTTTCACAAAAGTTTCATGCCCCCCAGAATATTATTTTCTTGTATGAATATCTGAATATTCAATGTATCAAAGAACAGACCCATGCTTTTAAAACAAATTTTAAACACCCATGCTTTTAAACAAATCAAAAAAAGTATCACACTTGAATGTGGGTAAGTTTAACAGTAAAGCAAGATTTTAAGCAAAAAGCTGAGAAAATCGTGGAAAATCAAAGACTACATCAAGATCGGATTTAGAACAATGATCAAAACATAGTTGGAGTAGATCAAGTCCATTAACACACCCTAAGGTTGCAGTCCAATACCTCGTCCTGGGTCAACATTTCATTCGGTAACGTTAGGCAGTTTTGATTTATATTCTGTTGGTGATGGCGTTATTTTTATATGCTGTTGGTGATAGTTTTATTTTACACATGCATCTGCTTACATATGATAATGCTCATAGATATCCACAATAAAGGCTAGATGTCTTACGGCGGAGTTACTATCGTCATCACCAGCGGCCATCTTGTCACAGGCAAGCTGATGTAAGATGAGTGATCAGCAAGAACATTCTGGATGATTATTTATTTATACACTTATTATTCATAAGTATGCAGTGTCATAGCTACATCTCTGACGTTTATAACAAACCAAATCGTTTGAAAATCCGAAGAAAATTGAGCAAATTATGGTTATTTAAAAAATACATGCACCATTAAACCACCATTGCCTGTGACAAGATGGCCGCCAGGTGCAGACGTCGACCTCCATTGGCCAGCAGCGTGGATAAGATATTTAGCCTTTATTGTGGATATCTAGGATATTGCTTGTTTCTGCTTCTTCTTCTGCTATTTCTTCATGCTGGAGTGGTTAGAGCCATGGCACAGTGACTAGTAGTGCATGTGCTCATGGGTCAATCTGTTCTGCTACCTTTTTTCATACATTGACAATTGACAAGTTCATCCTTTAACCGCCATAGTAGTTTGTTCAATTTTACAACCTTTGAGTGCTTTTAAATTGGCTCTATAATTTTCTCTTGATGGTCTCCCTCAATTAAACCTAATTCATAGCTAACAATCCCAGCAGAGTTCTATCATCTTTAGTTGCCTTACAAAAACTAAGCCTTTTGACACAAAACAACACTCACAATGACATTCTCGTGAGTCACTATTATCAGCCCTGTGTTTATCATGGGACGAGGAGGAACTGAAATAGCATTCAGTAATTATGCACTTAAATTATGGAGCTTTATTTTACAAAGCATTCTTTTTTTTTCTAGATGCATTATGCTGCATGACTACATTCTTTGCCCTTTACCAGTACCAGCTGTTGGAAATCAATGTACATATTCATGTTTTCCATCACCTTCAATTATTGCCTAGTCTTTCAACTCCTGCTTGGGGCTGCTACATCATTTATTTGATCACTTCTTAGCAGCTCTGCGTTGTAACAGGTCATTGCGTATTTAGTTTTGACATTTAATGAGTGGGAGTACTCATTATGTGTGTTATTATTTATAAAAAAAGATCAAAAAAAAAAATCCTGTGTTTTTGTCAAATTGACCTAGCTCTAGTTTAATCTCTCGTCATTTTGGAAAGCTTTTAAAAACAACCTAACCAAAAAATGACATTTTTGATCTGGCCTAATTTTACCTTTTAATTGTAATTTGACACAAAGCACAGCAATTATAGATCACACTGGCCGACTCCATCAAATCCTCAGGCTGAGACACTTTTCTGCTGTGCACCACAGTGGTTCTCAATCTCAACTGATGGGCTGTATGGATAGGGTCAAAGAAAGGGAGTGCCAAAGATAAAAATAGACTTTAACAATTTAACATGTTCATTTAGTGTAATTAATAAGTAATGCAATTTATAATGCCTCCTATACTCATACTTAGGGATTTTCATGGAAATTCAAGCCTGAAATGACTAGAATCATGCTTTTACTAACTGTTTCATAAAAAAACACCGCTATAGATGAGTGATCAGCACGAACACAAATACTCTTATTTCGTTGAAATCTTGACGGATTTACAAACGGTTTGGTTTCTTACAAAGGTTATTAACGTGGCTATAATTCTGGATGATTATTTATTTATACATTTATTATTCATAAGTATGGTTATTTAAAAAGTACATGCACCATTAAAACACAATGTTACGAGTGAGCAAGCTGCCTGTGGCAAGATGGCCGCCAGGTGCAAACGTCGACCTCCATTGGCCAGCAGCGTGGATGAGATATCTACAGTAGCCTTTATTGTGGATATATATGATATTGCTTGTTTCTGCTTCTTCTTCGCATGTGGTTTGATCAGAAGACTCGGTACTCTTACCTTATATCGCCCCCTACCACATAACAATGAAAACACGGAAAGATGGAAATTTCCATCAATGGCTGGTCTCACAAATTAAGAACATTTCAGTGGCGGGGAAAGAGTTAATAAAAAAAAAAAAGACTTCAAAAGATTCCACTTGCATGTTCTACAGAAAAAAATAACAGCATGTTTAGAAAAAGTAAATGGCCACGTTTAGCATTTTGGGTAGTGCTTGAATTGATGGGAGGGGGGATTTTGGACCCCTCCAAAGATTTATACTGTACAGTCCACACAACCCGTATGATCAACACAGATATGGCAGTCTTTTATGATATTTGACTGATATCTCTGACTGTGCTGATGCAGGTATCTCTCTGGACTCTATCAGCGCTGCTGTTCGGATTAGATAGATACATTCATGCCAGCCGAACTGCTGCAGAAGATTCATTCATGACATCGCCTCGACTCTCATGAACGCGTGCCATAGCTCTATGACTTATGTATTTCTATATCATGAAAGGCCAATTGGGGCAGATAATAATGGACTAAAGAAAACTGGGGGTAACAAATAAGAATCGGAGCCTAAAATCGAAATTTTCTCCATTATCTCTGTCTCTCTCTCACTCATTAAAATAGGCAGTTTGGGCGGCCATACCGGTCGCAAATATGGCGGCGTTCTATCTGTAGTGACGTAGCTGGCATCTCATTATGTTACTGCATTAGTGTGGGGCTATTTTGAGCCTTGTTAGTGGTATTTTACTTAGTCAATGCCGCCATTACTAGCATTATACGCTAAACAGTTTTTAGAGATAAAACTCTTTACATTCGATTATCATGAAAACAAACCTCAGAAAACGGTCGACTATGTACCGATGTTTTATTAGACCAAAGGTTCATTGTTCGCCGGAGTTCTCCTTTAAGTATCAGTGTATTGAATGATATGTTGACTTCTAAAGCCACGATTCATTAGATGATTTTTCACAAATCAATTAATTTGATGTATTAATTAGCATGCTTAAATTGATGCACAGCCCTATTCACAGTAAATGCAACTAACCACATTATTGTGCTTGTAGTTTGGTGAGGGCAATAAATATGTTTATTAAAAGGAAGGAGAAAACGCTTCCCATTCCATCAAAATTATATTTCTGTGCTATTTCATCTGTGTATCACAATCTAGCCAAACTGCACAGATGCCAACATGAGCAGATGCATGAAATGCCTTCATCCATGAAAACCACAAATACACCAAAATTACACATTACAAGGTAAATAGCTGCAGAGAGCATAAATCCATTGCAATTGGCTTTATGCACAGCTGCACTACTTCCTGAACTTCAGCCAGCTTTCCTTGTTTCCTGTCTTCCATTATTGGACAAACTGATTAATCCAGGTGTGTCTGATTATTGTTGTTGTGGCTACTGAGGTCAGACACACCTGGATTAATCAGTTTGTCCAGTAAATGGCAGACAGGAAACAAGATAGCAAACTGACATTGAATCAACGTGGAAACATGACATCGAAACAACGTTGATCTGACATTGTTTTGCTCATCGAATTAACGTCGAACCAACATCAGACGCGCCATTATTCAAAACTAACGTAAAATCGACACAGTTAGCTTTCCTAACGTTGAAGCGATGTTGATTTCAAGTCGATTTTCCGTTAGTTTTGAAGAATGGCACGTCTGGCGTTGGTTCAACGTTAATTCGATGAGCAAAACAATGTCAGATCAATGTTGTTTCAATGTCAGTTTGCTATCTGAAGGAGCTGGCTGAGGTTCAGGAAGTAGTGCAGCTGTGCATAGAGCCAATTCAGAAGACATTTAGAAACCAAAAACTGAACATTGTCCTATTCCTATCCCATTCGTGATGCCCAATGCAGCAAAACCAGCCGAGAACCATTGTCTTAACTTGTCACCACAATGATGAGAGTGATGCTATACTGGCTTGTCTCCAAAGTGCTGAGTGTGACTTTCAGAGAATGTCACATTTTACTGTGCTTGATGGTTCCATAAAGATGTCAATCATTTTCCCACCAGTCTCGAAGCTCTCAAATTATAGAAATATACAGTGTGGCATATGCTCATGTGCATCATGCTGAAGGCATTTAGAGCTTATACCTCATCATTCATCTCTCTGTTCACCTATACAAAAAAAAAAATGTGAATGGTTTTTAGGAGGCTTGAGTATTTTAGTATCAGGACTGTAATTGTTAAAGGATT